GACGCCGCCGCCGCCGCCGCCGCCGCCGCCATGACGGATCAGCTTCGATCCAACACAGAGCAACAGCAGCAGCAGCAGCGCCGCACACGTCTCAGCTCCATGTACGAATCCGGCGCGTCCAACTCGGGCCAGCTTCCTCAGCCGCCAACTCGGTCTCGACTCAACTCCACCACCGGCGCAGTCGCATCACAACCATCCTCCAACACCGCACGCGCACGCACAATGTCCTCCGCCTCACGCTCCTCCAACCTCGGCCAGCCGGAATACACTGGCGATCGCACTTATGCCACTCTGGGCTCCAGAAATCAACAGCCACTCTCCACATTGTCATCTTCGTCGTCGTCGTCCAGACGCACCTCCTGGGCCCCACACAAGCTCAGCCAAGCTGCCACACCCTCGCTCGCCGACTTTGATCCCACGACAACGGCCACTCCATCATCCTCGGCATCGCGTCCCGCCACAGGCTCGCGCATCCCTTCCTTTGGCCGCTCCACCTCCTCGCATCCGCGTCTCGGCGACAGTCTGCTCGGTCAAAGAAAGACGAGCGACTCCAACTCGCGCTCACACGCTGCCTTGGCCTCCTCCGCTTCCAGCTCCTCCCTCACCTTCCCCGCCAGATCCGACTCGCTCAACAGATCCACAAGGCTCACCTCCACCGCCGCTTCTGCCACTTCCTCCGCATCCATCTCCAGCCTCGCATCCATCTCCCGATCCACCAGCGGCTCCATGGGTCCACCCTCTTCCACCTCCCACTCGGCCCTCCTCAACCACCCACGCAATCCATCCCACTCGTCCTACTCCAACAATCGCACACAGCCGCGCATCTCTCCCTCTCTGCCAGATTTTGGCAGCAGCTTCGGCTCCGCCCTCTTTGACGACCCATCCAACGAGCTTCCCACCACCGCCGAACTCGACGAATCCGACACAGACACGCGCACTCCCTTGGCCACCTCCGCCCCCTTTGCCCCTGCCCCGCCTTCTTCCTCCTCCACCACCACCACCAGACCTCACAACCTCCATCTCGGCCTCCGCGAGTCCCCCAGCCTCTCCTCGCGCTTCTCCAACTTTTCCAGCGCCATCGCCACGCCAGAAGCTTCCGACGACCCCTCAAAGATGCTCGGCAGGATCCCCAGCGGCGCCTCCTTGCCATCACGATCCGCAC